CATGAAAGCTCATCGAAGGAATTCATTTGTTTAGTCAATTACCAAAATTTGGATGATTTTGAATATTCACTTGAAAAGTTATCAAAGAAAAACATTTTTCATTTTGTAACTTCGAGGGCCCGTAACTTGGTTACGAAGACTTTTAGGAAAAAAAGTTATATGAAGTACTGGTGATATTTTGACCCCATCTATACATTCCCGAGAGGAAAAGAGGAAGTCCAGGGACACCCTGTATATGTTAAGAAGCGCAACGAGCCTAAAACACATTCCTGAGGAACCCCACAGTTCAATTCCATCATGTTAGAAGTAATACTGTTGAATACTCTGTGTATTATGTAACAGTATTTTAATTTTTGTCTGGTAATAGAAAATGTATAGTTGCAACATAGACTGAAGCATTTTTAAATCTGCCTGATTTGACATCAAAACTAAGCGATTCATACGCTCTGATGTCTTGTTTTCAAAATAGTAATGCAGTATCCGTTTAGAATTTATGCTTTGCAGAGACTCTGGACGAAACGAGAGTGATAAAGTAGTTATAACATGGAAATTCCAAGCTCTGGACCAAAATAATGATAATGTACTTGATAAAGCTGAGTACAAGGATCTCAGAAAAATTGTCAAAAAAGCAGTAAAACCAAAGAAGTGTGCGAGAAACTTTCCACGCAGTTGTGATATCGATAGAGATGACCGAATTAGTTTACAAGAATGGGGAAACTGTTTGACAAGAGATGGTCGAATGGATTTAAACGGTGAGTATTAGAAATGTACATTTCAAGAATTATATTTTAAATTCATTTCAGTCATTTATGGTCATTTCTCAAACCAAAGCAGGTAATCTGCATTTTAATATTCGGAACAGATAAATCGCTTCAACCGCTAGATTTTTCTACATATATTTAGGAATCAGTACTGCTTTTATGCATTACGGTGTGCTATTTGCAATTTTCACTAATTTATTCTGGGATATCGTCGATTTCAGAATTATCATTTCTTTGATTGCTAAGAAGAATGGGTTGGATCAGGAAACTGAAAGTAGTTGTCAAGAAAAATGTATTTGTATTATACATCAAAAAGGGTACAAGTGTACAAACACAAACTCTGACAGATTTTTTTTCCTTTTCATCTCAATTTTCAGTGAGATAGTTTATATTCAGAAAATAATTTCTTCAAGATTATATAGGTTTTCATCTCTGAACGAAAAAGCCATACAGACTCACCATGTTGCTAGAAGAGCAATTTACATACATATAGGGTGACTTTCGAAGAACTGCCTAGTAGGTAGGTATTTACATGTTCCGAACAATTCCGATTATACCCGAAGTAGGTTGAAACTTTCTTTCAAATGGAACATTCTTCATTTTGGGTTCTAAATAAAATTCTAGATCTATTCCATATACCACCAGTTTTACGCCGGTTTGCTTAGTTTCCAAAATATTCGACATTCCAATTCAAAAAATGCATTTGCTGGCCATTTTTGATTTGAATATATTTCTCATTTCTATTATATATTGTTTTGTCTTTGATATCCCAAGAAACATTGAATGTTCATGAATATGAATCTACTAAATTAACTAAAGATACAAATTTAACAAAATAATGAATGACGAAATATAAGTAAATTGATGGATGTAGCCGTTACTAAGAAAATCACAATTACATAAATCTCATTAGTGTTTTTGTTTTACTGTGATGCATTTCAATTATTTGTTAGTTATTAATAAGCTTAAACTTAGATACTTAAGTTAAGTTTTCTTTGTCATCATTTCTGTCATTAAGTTTTACCTTACAAGTGATTAAAACCGAGTAATTATCATTCTGTGTTCTCTTCTTCAACTTATCACAGCAATAGTAACAACAGTTAGGTAATCATTGGCTGTCGCGGGCCAGATTAATGACACAAGAGTATATGACAAATCCTCCAATAACTTTTCCTCATTGAAACAAGATATTAGCTACCAATCACATTTATCCAACTGAAACAACTTCTAATATTTTTGATCTCATTTGTTTTCCTTTCACATTTCGGAATCGACCTGATATCATCAAGTGGTATCCAATTAGTTTCTACTAATAAACAAAGCTTTGAGAACTGCAACTTTTTATCAACTCTAACGACCTTCTCTCATAGACTAAAAGTTAAAAAAACATTGACATTAAAGAGTTGCCCATATGTTCATACATATAGATGGAAATCATTAGAAACATAAATAAACAGAAAATTCCATGATTAACAAAACATCAACATCGCGTTTATTAATTAATGAAAGGGAACTGTTTCTTTGTAACTTGATATAATTTTGTTTGTTTAATTAATGTTCATTAATTGGTACTTACTTTCCTGGTTTAATACCGATATTGTGATAACAGTTAATTCTTAATGAATAGGTCCTTAATTGTGAATCACATGACTCACCTGAAGACATTTTGGCTAAATTGTGGTTGGAACCTTCTTGAACAGAAAGTTTTTGTTACGAACAATGTATATTACCATCATTCCTCATTGGCAATAGGTACTGATATCAAATATATAANTATTGTTATTTATGCCAATGCTCCTAACAACTGCAGCTTTATATCGGAACTAACCCAGTTAGGTTAAGCATTCCATACTTTGTTTTGAACTTAAATAGTTTCTTTGCGTGTGTTCTTGTCGCTGAATGCAGACGGGCATGGCCAGAACACATACAATGATAATGGAGACTACAATGAAGATTACGGAGATTCTTTCAGCCCGCAGAAGTCGCCGCCGCATGGAGGTGAGACCTATATAATTAATTACAAACGATTTCCGCACTAACCTTTCGGGAGCAAGTCGATTTTTCAGATTTGTCATTGAACATTTCAGTATCTCATTGTATGTGATTTAGTCCTTAGTTCGACGGTAGTGGGACCAATGGGCAGTTATGAAGACGAATCAGCTGACGTGGCGGACGATCCGACTGATTGCTTCTCTGACAGAACAACAGCTATGTCTGAAGGTGGTCAACCATATGTTCCTGAATGTACTCCTGATGGTCGATACCATAAGGTAAATATAAATTAGTGAACACTGGAATATATTTCATCACAATTCTTTGTCCTATGATTTTGAAAAACTTGTTTAACGGAGATGCACAATTACTGGAAGCCACTCTAAAAAAGGTTCATATTCAAATTTGTATTCGAATCAGTGTAGAGTATATTATATCAATATTACAGGTGAATATAACGAGTGTTATTTTTTCATTTTCAGCTTTAAGCCAATTTGTCGACCAGATGGCACTTATGACTCTACTCAATGCCACTTTGGTGCCAACTATTGTTGGTGTGTCACACCAGAGGGAATTCCTTTACCATATACATCATCAAAGCTGAAACCTGATTCTAAACCACGGTGTGGAAGAAACAAAAAGTCCACCAGGCGTCGTTCACCAAGTAGGCGCTTAAAGGCAAGAATATGCAAAAGAACTGATAAGTCCTTGCTAAACAATAATTTAATTAACAGTTTTCACACAGAGTTCACGAGGTGAGTTCAAATATGGTGTTAATTTTGTTCCAATAATAATGAAAGTACTGTGAATTTAAGGCTTCAGAGTGTTGGTCAACCTATGAAAATGAAAAATTTTGTCGAGTAGTTGACTTCATGATAAACATTTTTTGCTAGTGTCTCAAGAAAATTTACCGACGTATTTGAAACCTAAAACCCTGTACTATTTTGACATATATACAGGCCGTTTTTAGCTGATCCCACTCTTTCTAGCTCGGAAACGGCATGGACAAAAATTTACTATTTTGGGGAACTAGAATAATCTTTCTTTCAGACCGATCATCTCTATATCTGTATCTGTAGAATAGGGAGGGTGAGTGTAAGCCCACAGTACTTAGGCCACATGTGACCCATTGTACATCCTCCCGAGGAGTTGTCCTCCTAGGTCATCGTCCATCCTGTCCTTTCCAGGATGGTGGACAGGTCACTAGGAGACATCTCCTTTATATCGGCAGGTGTAAGCCAGTTCTGTTTGAACCACGCTGGTATTTTTTCCCATTCCCCACTCAATCCTCAGGCTTAGTGATCTAAAGTACACTCAACATCCTGAGCCTTCTTTGGTTTTTGAGCAGATCGAGCATATCAGCGGTTGTTTTTGAAATATTTATCAAAAACTAGAATTGACAAATTTTGTTTTTGGCTCTATCTCCTCTATTTCGAATGATATATAAAAGGCAGAGGAACTTTCAATACTCTTTCATATTTGTTTTCATCTGATATAAACCAATTGGTAATATTACGTTTTGTTCATTAGACTTTATTTTTTTAAATACGGACCTCTAGCTTTTTTCATCGACTTTTGTAGAAATAATAAACTCAGCTATGTATTACGATGTTTGTCTCCGAAAAAACATAATCAATATTTGTGTATAAGGAGTAAAAAGTTTACATGTGCTATGGCTAGATTGGGTTTATTGGCAAGCAAATAGGAATACACTTGAGGTACCTTTTTGACGGAAATACATTGAGCTGTGAAGTGTACAATTGAAACGAAAATA